TTTGGCAGCTGTTATAGAATTCCATCTACAAAAGTACATGAAAAATTCTTCATATGATACGGAGATGATAGCTAAACTCTTGCGTAGCTTCTACATAGATAACGTTGTTGCCAGTTTTGACAAAGAATCTGAGATGATCCAGTTCATCGAAAAATCTCGAGAAATAATGAATGAAGGAAAGTTTAATCTTCGAGGTTGGTTACATAACGGAGATAACTTGAAACAGGAAACTATTTCACCTGTATTGGGTCTGTTATGGAACTCTCAGAAAGATAATATAACTTTGAATCTGAATTGTCTAGAAGATTTTGAAATGGGTATAATAACGAAGAGAACAATTCTTGCTGTAACACACAAAATATTTGATCCTATTGGACACCTTGTGATTTTAACTCGATAAGATGGGAAAATCAAAACATTCTACATGCACGAATGTATCATGTGCGTGACCATTTCTATCGCCTCCATAATTTGGAAATGCAAATTTTTAACATCAGCCACAAACATTTGAATCCCACAGGAGAAATCTAAAGGCATCAAGTCTAATGCATTCCATGGAATGAAATTTAAAGGAGCTAAGTCATTGTAGAAAGGGAAAGAAATTTAAAAGTATTAAGTCATCACTGAAAGAAATCTAAAGGAGTAAAGTCTGCTTCTTGCCTCTCTTCCTGGTAAAAAAACGTTTTTTAGTTCTTTTTTCCAGTTATGTAAACCACAATCCAATAAACACATTAGTTTCAGATGTGCTGTTCTTTTTCATCGCTTCTTTCTGAGAAAAACAAACTATAGTTTAAACAGGAAAATTCTACATATTATGCATTTTCTCTTTTATTATCTTAAATTATAATTAATGTTAAATGTTGAGATAGCTTTTCTGTATTCTTGAAGAATATAGTAATGGATATTCTATATATAGAATTAATATATACCAGTACTTAATATATTGAATGATTTGACCATATATAAGGACAATAGTAAAAGAATAATGTCCAATTTTTTGAAAAATTTTTAAACCTCTCTTCGTTTTATTCATTTCTCCTTCTTGTTTTGATATGCAAAGGTATGCCAGTGATTCAGTAGATGCAATCAAATTGAAATAAATTAGGTGTTTAAGAATGTAATATGTTAGTTGGCAATAGATGTTTTATCAATATTATTACATTTCTTTATAAAAGTAGTCAAGTTTTAAGAACCCATAAAATGAAGTCATTTGGTATGTTATGATTATGTTTTGATACTACAGTTAGAAATATTGGTATGTGCATATTAACGCAATCTGACGATTTTTTACAGATGAAAAGGTAAAAGTTACTTATTGGATGCTAGTTGGTGGATTTTGCACCCTTTTTTTAGAATGATTTCCAAACTATCAATATTTATTTACGATAAATATTGATAAACGATATCAACATATTAAAAAAAACTTTAACAAATTAAAATACAAATTTGAATTAATAAATAAGAATTATATGATACATTAAAAAATGCAAAACACTGAATTGTTCTTCAAATCTTTCTGTAATTTTTTGCACCATAAAAAGACTTTCTGAAGATTTTAAAAAAATCTACAGAAAATTGTGGAGACTTGGATTTTTGCAAACCTTGGCAACAGCAGCTATCTAGGAAATGCATTTCCACGTTGTTCAGTTAGAAAAGTGGCACAAAAATTCTGTATTCCTACAGACATTTTACTGCAATTTCTCCCAGTACTGGCACATTCTACAAGCTCATATTTTAAAGCTAAGGTTAACGCAAAACATATCACGATTTGTTAATAAAAACCATTGGAACGTGGGAGAAAACAAAAAAGAATGCATACAAAAATGGCACAGTTATTTAACTGAAAGAATTTGTTGTGCACATGGTTGGCAAAGTTTGGCACATTTTGAAAATGTTACAGCTTCTACTAAGGTAATATGTAACTACTAAGCATTAACCCTTTGAAGGGCACCAGTTGTTTGTCAATTTTTTAACCTTGGAAAAAATGCTAATTTCTCTACACCAAATGCTATAATCGTAAGTTTCTAGTGTTTCCTTTTGATTCTAAATGGAAGCACCACCCTATGAATGCTCAATATTTTGCAGTTATGAAATTAATATACCTTGTTTCAAGGTATCATGTTTGAAGATTGATAACTTCTATTGGAGGGAAAGAAAAAATTCAAAATCTGTAAATATATGACGTACACATGCTGAACCTTTTATATTTACTGCATTTCAATCAAAACTGATAATTAAAGAAGATTATTTATATGTTTTTAATACCGGTATATAATGTACACATGCTGAACCTTTTATATTTACTGCATTTCAATCAAAACTGATAATTAAAGATTATGTATATGTTTATAATACCGGTATATAATATATACCGGCGCCTCTACTGAGGGTACCTTGCCAATAGATGGCAGCACCAGGCTTCTCTTTCTCTACTATGTGAGATAATAGCATTTCTCTACATTATAATAGTTTATGATGTAATAATTTGTTTATGATTAACTTACAAGCTGTTTAGGATTCAGTATTATGTTCATGAAGGGATGAGAAGTTTACTGACCCTGCACTAGGACTGAATACAAGTATATTTGTTTCTTTTTATTCTTTTTTTTACTCTGTGCGAGTTTCATTCATCTCTATATATCTAAAATTGTAACTTCAGCACTTCACCCTTTCCCAAGAGAAAGACTGATCGATTTCAAAATTGCCATCTGGGGTCAAAATTTTACACAATTGCAGGCGTTAAATGTGGCATGTTAGCACCCAAACGACACGCTTTGCTTCGTGTTTTCCAAAATCCTAGAATCCAACGAAAATGAAAGCAGGTGATTAACAACTGATTTATCATTTGGGAGTCACACCTTCTTCCCTTTGTGTGGTGTGATAAGATTACACAAAAGAGAAAGCTCACTTAAAAATACTGGAAGTGCACTTATGGACCATCTCTTAGTGTAATCACAAAAACTGCTGATTTGAAAGCATGCTTTTATTCTTATCGTCTTTTTAAATTTCAGGTGAAAGACTATGGAACGGAAGAGAAATTTAGGTTTAAGGTTACAAATAGGTCGTTTTTGAAATAAATTTCACAGTTTGTGAAATTAGGGAAAATATTTTTTAAGGCTCAAACTAGAATTTATCCAAAAGTTGAAAAGGGGCCCCTAGGAGGCCAAAGGGGTTGAAAATCGAAATAAGAGCTTTGAAGTGTATAAAATAATAAAGTTGTTTAACGGTCTTTCTTCCTGAACAAAAAGACATATTACAATCTATATTTACAAAATATAAAAAAAGGAGTCCTTACGGTTCTCGATAATCTAAAATGCATTTGGTGGGGGATTCTTGGTATCATAGCATGAATCATGGTTTTTTTACACATTACTAGAGCATAAAATATGACTTCAAAAATGCAACATACTTTATCATCTGAGTCCTAGTGTTTCATTTTTTTATTTTTATTTTTTTATTTTTTGGCTGTTATATATCCTTGTAATATTATACTAATTCAGTTGCAGCATGATACGATTTACACATGCAGTGTCATATTTACTAATTTTTTTTTATAAAATAGTAATATCGAATTTAAATCAAGTTCAAAAACTTGTTACGCATATTTTACATAAGTATGTTCAGCCGGGTTGCATCATCAAAGTGCATAAAAATATAAATTTTATTTTTTAAATTTTGAATTTCTACCGAAATTTTAAAAGTTTTTGTCTTTAGACATACATAACTATATTCAAGCACCCATCTCTACAGATGTACATGAAAAGTACGCAAAATTAATTTAAGAAACAATAGCTGCTACCTGGAAAAAAAAATGTTTTAAAGGGGCACTGGTATAAAATATATACCGGCTCTCAAAATTTAGGATTTGGCTCTAGATTTTTTTTAACTCTCAATTTTGTGTCCTTAGGGTCCATTAGTTCATGCAAAATTTTACCGCAATTTAAATTATTTTATGTACCGCCCCTCAAAGGGTTAATACGTAAAGTTTTCTTGCTTATTCTTATGCATAAAATATACAAAGAAATTTGAAGATTTTTAATTTAAAAAAATCAAAAGTTCTAATTTCTTCATCATTTGCAGACAAGCATAAATAATTGGAAAATTCAAGTATGTTTCATTAAAAATGATTTATAATTGTATATTATTCATGTAATTGGTGAAAAATTATTTTAAATTTATTAAAACAAGCTTCCTTAAATCATTATTCTTAAGAAAAATTCTAAACTTTGTTTATAAAGGGGGAAAATATTACAAAAATTTAATTGTACTACTTCAAATATCTTGTTGTCCATCAAATATTTTTGAGCTTTTAGAATGCCATCTTATCTCATTTTGAAAAATGGATTCATATTTGTAAAATGCTTTTTTAAAATCTCGTACATACCCCTGGGTGTATACACCGATTTGGTATCTTATCATGACACATATTCAGGGTATTGTTCCCTGGTGACAGGCAGGGGCATTATCAGAGACCAGTCAGACTTCCAAGTGTATAATGGTGTTTGCAGTGAGCCCTCTCCTTGGGTTGGTCTCTGAGACCCGTGGAGTGGTGAGTGCCTAGTTCCCAGTTCAACCCCAGGGAAATTGTAAGAGTTCATTAAAAAGTCTAAAAGGATTAGGCACCTGCTGGATTAGACCATTAAAAAGGATTTAGGCACCTGCTGCGTAGTAAGCTGAGTTGTAGTGATTTGTTTAAATCTCTTATAAGAGTTGTCAGTGGACATGACCGGCCCTCTTGCCTAATACAAAGATGGATCTCGGGTGTCACCTTAGTTGCAAGAAAGGTTTATATATAAGTTATCTCATCCAACAGGAAACCAAATATTTAAACAACTTCAAATACTGTAATTTTGAATAAATGAATGCAGTAAATTAGAAAATATTAAATTTAATAATATAATATTTTTTCATACTTATATGTGCACTAAAAAGTACATATTGATGAAGCTAATTTGTCTTATTTTTCAGTATATTTAATTTTAAGAATTTATTTCTGATATTTTGAATATTCCTTGTAGTTACTGTATTCATCTCACAGGCTTCAGAAGGTGAATGGCTACAGAAGCAAAATACTGTTTAGACTATTTTGCTAAAATAGAGGAAGCTGCACAAGATATTATTAGTGACAGAGAATGCATAGTTGAATATAGCAGGAAAAGTAATTCACTTAGAGAAGCTAAAAGGTAGAATTTTGCTATATTATTTAAAATTAAACAATTTACTATATTGTGTTGTTAAAAGTTTATTTTTAATAATTTTTTTTCTACAGGGCTCTTCAGGCTGATTTAAAGAAAGATATCCCTGTTTCAAAGACATGGGTCTTGTTTGGAAACATGTTTATAAAATGTCCAAAAGAAAAGGCTTTTGACATTGTTCAGAAAGGTAAAGTATGATATTGCTGTAAATTGACAGGGAATTTTTAATATACAGTCAAAAGTTGTAAATTCGCACACCCATAATCCGGAATGATCTATAATCTGGACCGCAAAGCTACAAACTTTCTGCGCATGCGTCAACCCGACGCATGCGCGTAAGACCTTTACGGCTGCGAATATGTGTGTGCACGTGCACAAAACACATATACGAATGCCCGTTTAATGTATAACGGACGGTATAAGCTAAGCTAAAATTATCTAATTCAGTTAATGTTGCAGATTACGTTGTTCCTTAATCTTCGAATTGGATTCGGCTTATTATTTTTTGCATACTGTTAGAGCAATTTTATAAAAGTAAACTTGAACTTTCGATTATGTCAAATAGAATTTCTGATATATATTTACTAATATGTAAAGGATCTACAAAGCGAAAGTATGTTTCGAAGTCCATTAAACAAAAAGTGGAATTGCTGCAAAAAATGGATAAAGGCATATCCTTTGTTTATCTTTAACGCTGCGGTGCGCAATGAATTGGAAATTTCGATTGACAAGTTAGTCGGTATTCTCGGCACAGCAATTACGGGTCTTGAACAGCGAAACTTTGTAACTGAACAAGAAATTATGTCTGTTTATAGAATTAAAGAGAATGTATTAACACAAAAAACGAAGCAACTTAAACAACTTACATTGAAAGAAATATTTAATAAAGTAAACAAATAAATATTAAGCTTTTTTTTTTTTTTTTTTTTCAAATTTTGATACCCTTTAGATCATAATTATTCGTTATTTCATAAATTACAGTTTCATATCTTTAATTTTATAATTTTTGCATGCCATCTTACCAGATTTAAACTGATGATCTATAATCCGGAATCACTGAAGTCCCGACGAGTCCGGATTAATGACTTTTGACTGTAGTATATAGTTTAGTTAAACTATGCACATTTTTGGCAGTCAAAAATTAAAACTATATTTACTCTTTTTGTTGCCAGTTTATATACCTAATTTAAAGTTATTTAATTTACCATTCCTTCTCTATATTTTAAAGTTTCTCCCCTCCTGCAGAAAGAAAAAACTTACATAAACAAATATATTTCTGTCTACCATATAGCAACATAACTGTCATTAAAATTAGGAAAGCAGCAACTTTATGTTTGGCGTAGTTTTCAGTCAAGACGCTAGCGATTTTGAGGGCAAAAGCCATAGTTGTATTTATACCCAAAAGAAGTAAACCAACCCTGTTGGCAGAAATAGTAACAAAAACTGAAAAATTAATAGAATTTTAAACCATTAGGATGGACTGAATTGAAATTAAGCCATTAACTAAACAAGATAAATCTTTATGAAGGTGAAAAGCTTCAAGAAAACCCAATTCATCAATGGAAGAAGCTTTTTGGATAATTTTTTTAAACCCAAAGTCGAAATTATGATTAAATTTTGAACTATGATTAACTATCGAAGACTTGCTAATTTCACCTTTTAGCACAAAAAATTCATATTCTTTGGCGTGAAACTTTAGTGTTCTTTTAGTTTGGCTGAGATATTTTAAATCACACTGAGGTGAATACGAAAAAATATCTAAAAATTAAAGTCAGCAATGGAATCTTCATTGATAGGCGAGAAAATGACTTGAAAATTGAACTTCTTGAGAATTCATGCAATTTTGTAATGACAGAGGGATGAAATGGAAGCATAAGGTTGTTAATTTCTAATAGCGGAATGTATTCTTTGACTGTAAGATGAAAATTTTTTAAAGGCTTTATCAATGACCATGAGAGAAAATCCTCAGTCGGTGGCAACTGATCTCAAATAATTGAGTTCATTCGCAGGCAAAGGTTCTGAGGAAAACTCTGAGAATGCAAAATACATAATAGTAAAAAGAAGCCATTTTTTGCTTAGTTATTTGGCATGATTTAGCTTGGGGAGGCAAACAAACAGAAAAGACTTTACGGTTAACAGAAGCACTGAAATCAGATTCATTGCAAATTGCAAGAATGTCAAGGAAAGGAAAAGTATTGTCAGATTCAGTTTCAAAAGTGAACTGGATGACTGAACCAGTTGAATTTATAACATATAAAATCTGGGATAAATCTTCTTTATTATGTCAAAAAGTATCATCTATCCAGCGAATGCAGAGACAAAAAAAAAAAAAGTTTCTCAAATAATTTTATTTTAAAATGTAAATGTCAGCATGTACAGGACTGGCAGGATTAGTTTGGAAAACAAAGTGGGTTTGGTTCATAGAGGATTTAGTAAGAGAAATTAACTCAGTATATATGTAAATTCAGTATATATGAAATGGAATTCTCAAAGCCTAGTTTCAAGACATTTTAATGTTAATCTTTGACTGGAATATTAATAAACATCAAAAGAAACCATAATGGATCTCAGGAGAGAAATATCTTTAAATTTATTGATGACTTAAAAAGAATTTTTTTACAGTGTAAATGTTGTTTGAAAGTAAAGGAGAAAATTTTTGGCCAAAAGATATGATGCCTTTCTTAAGTTGGAAATTATAGGCCAAAAAGAAATTCCAATTTTATGGACTCTGGGGAGAGCATAAAACCTAGCACAGTTAGCAATATGTGTAATGACTTTTTTAAAACTGAGTTGGGGGCATTTGAGAAAATTTAACAACTGTTTTAATTTTTGTGTGGTCAGAAGTTGAAGGATCTTGGAGATCAAGCAGTGTTGGCCTTCATTTATCAGTTTCGTGACTCCATTAATGTATATGTGTTTGTCTATAATAGTAATCTGTGCACCCTTATCAGCTTTGGAAATTACAATGTTTAAAAATTTTTCATCTTGCCATCAAAGAAGATATTCTGCTGTTAAAAGTAACATTTAACAACCTTGTTGTGCTTCTATTTCATCCTTCTGTCAGTTCCAAAATCGCACTGATTCATCAGAAGTTTGATTTCTATGTCATTTTCTCACCTATCAGTGAAATCCATGGTTTGATTCTTAAAGGTTCCATTTCTGACTTTTATTGGATTATCTATCATTTGCATATGTGAGTAAAGCACTGGGTGATTTGATTAAAATTTTCTTTATAGGGAAAATGTCTCATTAAGTAAGTGAACAAGATTGAATTAAAAACTCTGCCACACCATCTTTTACCAGTTTATTAGTGATATCTTTGTTCCTGTGTTCTTTGTGGCATGAAACCCGCTGAAAATGAATATCGTTCTAATTGGAATATTTTCTAGTTTGTTTCTGATTTTTGCTTCTGTGTTATATTTTTCATTTTTCCAGTTGCTCAGATGTTGAATAAAACTCTGATTATGCAATAATATCAAAAACATTTTGTCACATTGAAGGTGTATTGCTGGTTTAATGTTCATTTATTATTCATAATTTGGAATAAAAATAATCTTCATATCCGCTTTTTAACTTGATAGTGCCATTATTAGTTTTAATGAGAACTTCACTAGCAATGAAGACATTTTACTTTCTCTTACTGCCAGTATAGATTTGATTAGCATCAATAAGTGTATTGTTGATGACTTCAAGAACCCTGATGGCAGTTCAGAGTTTTTGTTAGTGCGGCTGAAAAGTTCATTGTGAATATGTTGTTAGAAGACTTTTCGTGGTACCATGCAAAGTGGTTTAAGGAGTATCATTTTACATATGGGCTGAGAAGATTCAGTTTTTTTTTTGCTTGACGGAAGAACTTCCTTTCTCCAGCTTTTAATACTTTGTCAGCAACTGCGAAATATGTAGACAAATTGTGAATCCCCATAGCTGATGAGTTTATTATAGCATTTAGCAAGATTCTTAAACTTACACACTGTAGATATCTGTTTTGAAAAGTACGATTTTGCCGGAGTAACTGTGACATAGGTAATTCAGGATATAGACAACAGTAAGTTGCAATCTCAAATTTTTATAAATTTGAGATAGAAGCAAACTATAAATCTGATTTTAAAGTCATATTCTAATATCTAAACTAATCTAATAAATGTTGTGGTTGTCAAGTATTTCTCTGGTTTTCTTCACTAACAACTAGATGTGTTTGACGCTAATGATCTTAAGATCAAGAATAAGGCAAATTCTGTCTTTATTCTGCTGATCTGTGTACAAGGAAAACCTTTCATAAGCAAAAGGTGTTAACACATGTTTAGAACTATTTAATTAATACTTAAAATACAGATATTTAAGATTTAAATATTTTATCTGATGAGCTTTTTATAAACTGGCAGTTCTCCATCATGCTTTCTACAGTGGAAAGGTCTTTTATAAATTTTTCAGACCATTGTTTTCTGTTCCTCTTTAAATGCTTTCCTGAGTCAATTTATAGTGGTAGGTTTGTACTCTGAACGAGATGTTTTCCAGCAGACCAAAGCACAATAAATGTGAAGTGGATTTTCCAGAAACATACAGTACCTATAGTAGTCTTCGTTTATTCAAGGAATGCAGTGGTAGATTTTGAAGTATGATTGATTGTTGTAAGCAAACTCACTCTTCATCAAGAATCGTAATGTATTTTTATTTATCTTCTGTTAAATGGTATTCATATAGGATATTTTCGAAGTTCAGCCTTTTGCCTCGATAAAAACATCCTCACGGGTGTCAATCGGCTGGTCACTAATCCTTGTGTCAGTGGCTTGGGGATAAACTCTCAGGAGTACCTGCTTTCGGGAAAGCTGACTGTGAGGCTTCAGTTTGCATATAGGTCCAGCTAGCTCTAACACAGGAATCTGTGTTCCCTTGTTGGGCTCCGTGGTGGGCGGGGCCATCGGACCCGAATCTTTTCTCTTTCAAACATGGCTTCACTTTTCATCTTAAAAAACCTGACTCAAACGAAACTAACCAAGAAATAGAAATTATTGACAAATCCATTACCAAGAAAATCCGTACCGATGCAAATGCCAAGGAAACTACTGAAAATCCACACTTCCTTGTTGTCTCTAGTCCTCCTGTGAAGTGCAAAAGATGTCTCCTTTTCTAGTAAGCAAATAGATTCACTCATGCATAGGTGAGCCAAAAAAACATTAAGCACCTCCG